TGAAGGGAGTATGTCAATGAGAAAAGAGGATAGAGAGCAGACCCCTCAAACACCAGCATTTCAGGAAGCCTTTGGGAGGAAGGTAGCGTAAGTAAGAACAGATAATACCACTCCCCATTCAACAACTGATTTATTCCATAGCCATCCTGTTTTGCCAAATGTCCACCTTTTTCCCCCACCTCCCTACTTTGTTGCCTTAAACTGAATATCTATTCCACTCCCCAATACTGAAAGGGCAGCAAGATGTACACCCTCTTTACAGGTCCCAGGCATCGTAGGCATTCTGAAGGGGGTGGGTAGCATTAGACACATAACGCTGTCTTCTCCTTCCCAGCTGCTTTTAATGAGGCTTTACAGTCAAAGCCCCCCACAGTCTACTTTTTTAAAGTTAGCTATCTAGGTTGAGATTATTATAACAAACATAAATGCTTTATAATGGCAAATTTGCCTCAAAGGTATGCAGAGTAGTTACCATGAGCAACACAGAAAATGAGCTCCTGCACTGAAATGAATGTTTGAAATTAAACTTCTCAGGTTGTGTGAGAGGATCCATTGTCAGCTCTGTTTCTCCACTAAGATCAGGCTTGTGTTAAGTGTTGTATATTTTGACCTGGGTCTAAGAAGGTCTCAGGAGAGATTAATTTGGCTCTGATTCTGGAAGCATTTTTTCCCCCATTTTCCAACAGATGATTTAACAGTGGTTGAGGAGTCCCCCACCCCACTGTATTTAGGGGCTCTGGCCAGATTGCTTCAGGATGCTGTGTTCCACAGATAGGAAGCTTAAGGAGCTGTCAGATACTTGTTTGAATGCACAATTGATAGGAATCAATATTTCTCCTTCCCCTTCTCTGTTTTCACTCATCTTTATTAACTCAGACAAGCACTCAGTTTCCCCCAAACCTCTGTTTTTGTGACAACGTATTGTCCACATTGGTGGGCGTGGAGCCACCAGCTGGCTGACTGTCCCTTTTGATATTCTTCTGGCTTCCTCTGGAGAGGTAGCTCCAGAAGGTGTGCCTTGTGAGTGGGCAGAGAGGCAAGAGTCACTGTGCCCAGGATGGGCATCCCTTCGTGCTTGTGCTCCTCACACGAAGCGTTCCCTTTTCATGAATTAGGCATTGCCACCTTCGTAGAACCGAGAACTTGTCCACAAAGAGGACCTATGGCATATTTTACAAGATTCAACCTTCACCAACCTGGTTTTGTTCTCTTGCTGCAGTCTCCGTGCAAACGACTCCAGGATCTTGATGTTGCAGCTCCCTCTAGTGTCACTGTGGCTCAGGCTCTCCTAGGGCTTTTCTTCCCATTCAGAAAATGTACACAGTACAGTCTGTCAAAATTGGCAGCATTTTAAATAGGCTTTCCCATATACAGTCAAAACAAATATGAGATGATTTTTCTCCCATTACAAAAGGGAATCTTACATGAAGATATGGGACCATTCCAGCTCCAGTTTTGTTCCTATTTCAAAATTTTGTGAAGCCTAGGAGTCCTGTGGAAATCATTCTTCTTGAGGAGTGGATCTTTCAGTTCAAGCCAGCTACGCTTTGTAAGGAAGGAGTATGAATTCCTTTCAAGAAAAGTAAATAAAAATGGGAGGCCAAGAAGAAGTTACTTTGATCTCTGCTAGAGAAAATACTGGGTAAGGGAAGAAGGAAAGAAAACAACAACCAGCTGGAAGAACCCTGTCCATTTGTTCTGAAAAGAGTGGCTCGTTTTCTGAAATGACTTTTGGACTAGAAATTTATCATCTGAAGAAAAATGGCTACTATGTGGTACATAGAATAACATAATACTCCTACCTAAATTAACATCATCGCAGGCTCCATAATAAAGATTTATGAGATACTCATCATATGAGAAATCCTATTATGGAGATCTCCATAGGTCTGTGTTTTGGTTGTAACTGTTCTCATGGTTATGAGCCAATCAGAAGCCCTGGTATTTTGTTTTCCTCTTTCACACTCCAGTCTTCTCCCTTTCTCCTTTGCCCTTACAACTAGAGTGACCCATTATTCTCCAGCCTGTCTACATATTGTAAGATGAAGAGATAAGGAAGTGCTGCCTCCTCAGCTTGACTATTTAGGCAGACCATTTTCCTTCAGAGCATCCAAAATGACTGAACAATTTATCATTTCTTCTTTGTAAATCACTTTGAACTTTTATCTCAAGTTGATCTGTGAAGCTAAACATAAATTCTTGTTGTAGGATCCATGCTCTTGTCTACTGACAAAGCTCTAGGATATCTTATATAAATGTGTGTGTGTGTGTGTGTGTGTGTGTGTGTGTGTGTGTGTGTAGATAAAATTAGAATAGAAATAACAATTAGAGTATCATCTCTGCTTCTAATGCCAAACCACAAGGTGGCAAGTTTTTTTCAGTGCAACTTGGCATAGTGAAAACTACAGTTGGGCCAAACAGTTCTCTCTCTCTTAGCCTTAGGTTGTCCCGTCTTAGATCAGAACATGCTGTTGATCTTGACTTGTTTGTCAGGGCTGACCTGGCATGGAGGTGTGAAACTTTAACGGTCCCTCTTTAGCTGCCCTCTGTGAAACCTATGGTCAGAGAGCCTCCTTGCTGAGGCTAGTGGCTCTCAGACTCAAAACAAAGATGCATTTTTCTATCTTGCTCTATTTGTTCGAAAAAATATGAGGATTCTATAATGCATCATTTTAGCATTTACAAGTTGTTAACTGTTTTGGTTTTTTTTTTTGCGGTACGCGGGCCTCTCACTGCTGTGGCCTCTCCCGCTGCGGAGCACAGGCTCCAGACGCGCAGGCTCAGCGGCCATGGCTCACGGGCCCAGCCACTCCGCGGCATGTGGGATCCTCCCGGACCGGGGCACGAACCCACGTCCCCTGCATCAGCAGGCGGACCCCCAACCACTGCACCACCAGGGAAGCCCTGTTAACTGTTTTAGTCATTATGAATGTTACATTTGTACAGCTTTGTAGTTTACAGATATGCTCTACATACTTGATCTCATTTGATTCTCATAATTGCCCTGTGAAGTAGATTTCAGTATTCTTTATATTGTCTCCTTTATTAGAAAGACTGGGACCCAGAGAAATTAAGAGAAATGCCCAAGGTTACACAGCTAGTAGCGAGGCTAAATGCTAGGCCTCTCAAGTCTTTGGTGAGTGTCCTTTCTATCGGATGACAGCGAGAGTTTAACTACACAGTCTAATTCAGCCAAATTCAGTGATATTTGATTGACTTTTCAAAGGCTGAGGAGTTGGGGCCTTTGAACTTTCATTCCAGGAGGCAGTGTGATATTGAGCAAATTATTAAAACTGGAAATGGGGTTAATGGTATCATGTCCTGGATCTAACTCCCATACAACTAAGTGATGACTAGTATAGGATTATATATTATACTGCATGTGCTGAGACTTTGAGAGCTTTCCAAAGATAATACTTTCCGAAAGATACATGTTTGAACTTGAACTCAGTCTGGGGATATCTCTGTTTTAAGACCAGAAGTTTGCTTAAAGAAGAGATGCTTACTGTGCCCTCAAACTTATGAGGTAGGTGGTAGAAGACTTGAAGAAACTTGTTTTCAGACCTCTGTGTGTGTGTGCGTGCATGTGTGCATGCGTGTGTGTGTGTGGCACTGAATCACTCATGTCGAGTCTCTAACTGTAATAAATATGTATAAATACAGTAAATGAGAGAGGGATGTTCTTCTCTCTTGAGACTCCTTTGCCTTTGGTCCTTTTTTTTTTTAATATCTATTTGAATGGAAATCAGAGCATGCTGCTTCTCCGAACTGAGAACCCATCAGCGTCCTCCTAAGACGTACATTTTTCTTTTTAAATAGAAATGACTAGAAAAGCTTTTTAAAATTTGCATTTCTGTGTTACTGCAATAAACGGGCAAATGTAAACACTACAGAGCACCTGTTGCTGGGAGGCTTTGGTGTTTGTGAGATGCGGCAGTGTGCTCCTGCTGGGGAGGAAGAGTGGCAAGTGTGTACCTGGTTCCCAGGGTCGTGGAGGATCTGTCTGGACTAGACTATTATGATCTATGAACTGGTGTTGGAGACTCAGCCTTCCGTTGTCAACTTCTCATATCATATCATGAGAAGAATCCATTTAGGGGTGATTTTATTTACTCTTTGCTTTTCTAACCCTTTCAGACCAGAAATACAATAGTTGTTTTAGTATGTAGAACTCTTGGCTAATGTTTTTGATCAAGCAACTCTTCCTTGATCCGTAACCACTTAAGGTCTCTTTGAGAGGCCTTATTGCTTGAATATTAGGCCTTCAGTGAGGCCTGTTAAGAGAAAGTGTAAAACTCAGACTCCTGCCATTGAAATGTTGGTCTTGCTCTGATTAGTTGAGACCAACGATTCTCTCACTCTTTCATCTCTACCCTGCCAGTGAACCATGAGTGCCTGAGTCGTGACCATCACCATGACATTCATTAAAAAGTTAGGAAAACCCACAGTTTACCTGGCCAATTGTATGTCACTCTCCTGACCGGTGATATAATAAGGTATTCTGGCCTACTTTATGACCCATTTATTGAGCTGCTGTATAAGTCTAGGCTGTAAACCTCCACAGAAAGCGGGTGGAAAATGACTTTCGTTGTTCAGTTTTCTAGATGAGGGGCAAGGTACAGTGGAAAGAGGAAGCTTTGGTGTTAGACAGACTTAGGTTTGCAAACTGGTGACCCTGGGGTTTTTTTGTTTTGCTTTGTTTTGGTTTTGGTTTGTTTCTTTAATTCTTAGGTCCTCCGCCTACTTTGAAGAGTTAGTGTAAGGACTAGAGATAATACACATGAAGTTAAGCATGTAGGCACTGTTGCTGTCACTCAGCACAGGATTGCCAAGACCCTTTCTGAAGACTCAGCTCTAACGCTGTGTCTTCACTGCAACACTGTTGCCTTTGCCACTCCAGACTCCCACCAGTCACCTTCCAGGTAACACTTCTTTACACATCATAAGCCTTATTATGAAAGTGTGCATTTTAAATCGTGTTCTTTGCTTTCTTCTTACAGATCTGTAAGAGCAAAGCTAAAGAATCGCAGCAGTATTATCACAGCTTGGCTGTCCGGCAGAGTCTGGCTGTCCATTTTAACATCCAGCAGGACTGTGGTCACTTCCTTGCTGAAGTTCCTAAACGTCTGCTTCCCTGGGAGGACCCTGATGCCCCGGAAGAGGAAGAGGATGAAATGGAAGCGACGGAAGAGGTGAAAGGAGGAACTGATGGAAAAAGCCCAGAGCCCAGCTCTGAAGCAGAGTCATCCCACAAAGAAAGCCAGGCAGTCGTTAGCAGGAAGCAGAGAAGCCACGTCGTGGTCATCACCAGAGAGGTTCCCTGTCTCACCGTGGCCGACTTTGTGCGAGACTCTCTAGCGCAGCATGGGAAAAGCCCTGACGTGTATGAGAGGCAAGTGTGTCTGCTGCTCTTACAGCTGTGCTCCGGCCTGGAGCACCTCAAACCCTACCACGTCACTCACTGCGATCTGCGTCTGGAGAACCTGCTGCTTGTCCACTACCAGCCCGGGGGACCCGCCCAGGGCCTTGGGCCTGCGGAGCCCAGCCCCACCTCTTCTTGTCCCACGAGGCTCATAGTAAGCAATTTCTCTCAAGCCAAGCAGAAGAGCCATCTGGTAGACCCTGAGATCCTCCGGGACCAGTCCCGCCTTGCCCCAGAGATCATCACAGCCACCCAGTATAAAAAGTGTGATGAGTTCCAGACAGGCATCCTCATCTATGAGATGCTGCACCTGCCCAACCCCTTCGATGAGAACCCAGAGCTGAAGGAGAAGGAATACACTCGAGCAGACCTGCCTCGCATCCCACTCCGCTCCCCCTATTCCCGGGGCCTGCAGCAGCTGGCCAGCTGCCTCCTGAACCCCAACCCTTCTGAGCGACTCCTCATTTCAGGCGCCAAAGGCATCCTCCAGTGTCTGCTCTGGGGCCCCCGGGAAGGCCTCTTCCAGACTTTCACTGCCTCCCCCAGCCCAGTGCAGAGGAATGCCCTGCTCCAAAACTGGCTAGACATCAAGCGAACACTGCTCATGATCAAGTTTGCTGAGAAGTCCCTGGACAGGGAAGGTGGCGTCGGCCTGGAGGACTGGCTTTGTGCTCAGTATTTGGCTTTTGCTACTCCAGACTCCCTCAGCTGCGTCGTGAAAATCCTGCAGCCCCGTTAACGTGTCCCAGTTGCTGCTCTTACTTCATTGTCGCCTTCTTCAAGTGGCTCACATACTTCCCCTTCCTAGTACTCACACAGAATTCAAGGAAAGGGGAGAGACGAGCCTTCCATCCCCATCCATGAACAGATGAGTCCACTCTGAAAGGTTGTCCTCAGCTCTAAATCCAGTGAGACGCTGAGTCCCTCTTAATTTCACAGAAAGTCAGCCACACAAACACGCAGCTGCCTTCCATGGGAATGCCTTCCACCCTAACTGTCCCCCAGATGCAGGGGAAGTGAAGACATGTCCTTGAAGGGACAGCTCCTCTGGTTTGAACTCAGTGAGCTGGGTCCAGTTCCTCCATAATTCTGAATAGCCCCTGTCTTTTTAACACCGTGTATTTATTCTCACTAGCAATAGACGGATTTAACCAGTCCTTACCACCATCCACTAAGCTCTCACAACAGACTTTCTTCCTTTAAAGGATCAATAACTGACTCTCTTACCAGGCGGAACTGCCATCCTTAGCATCAGCCCAGTTTTGGTTCCGGGGACTGTATCCTTTGTTCCAGGAGGAGTAGAAGGACGAGGAGAGATCCCATCCTCTGGGTCATGAACCCATTTTCATTTCTATTATCGATAAGTGTGTGCACTGCATGGAGGGCGGCCCTAACCGTCTCCCCTCTGCTGCCACTGCCTGATTCTCCTTCACCTCTACTCTCTCCCCACTTGCCAATGAAGTTTGGTTTATCGGCCACTTGTGGCCCATTACAGAGCTGACCCAAGGTGGTGTCACCAGTGCCTCAGCAGGGTGGAGTGCAGTTCAGAGCTTATAAATAGCTGGCAGGACACAAGGAGATGATTTTCCTGCATGTGCAATTCTCTAGGGGACATCAGGGGGACAGAGTTTAAAGTACTGTTCTTTGATTACTGTCAGAGCTGTCAACGTTGGCAGCCAGGGCTGCCGGTGCCCAGATCACAGTTTTCCCTCGAGCAGTAATTGGCCAGCTTCCTTCTGTCAGTAGCCAGCGTTAACTAGTCTACCAAATGCTGTAGACAACAGCCCTGCACGAAACGGCTGTCAGTGGAGCTGTAACGTCTCCTTAGAGGGCATGGCGTGGCTGGCTGTTAGGACGGCCAGAAGGCAGGGGAAGGGGAGAAGGCCGCTGATGAGACTGCTGACCTCCTCCCCAGAATGCCGGCCTTTTCTAGAGAGACTGCCTCCCAGTGCACAGGCACATTGCTCCTTGTGACCCTCTGAAATGGCTCTGGAGGACAGCTCCCAGGGAACTTGGATTGCTGAGGTGGGTGGCTGAGAGCTGTTCACCGCACGTGGGGTCTGTGCTCCTCCTCTATGGATATATGTGCAATTTTGGTATGTATTTTTTTTTAGCTGTATATACAATGTTTATGTTGCAACTTCACCTGAAGCAATATCTCCAGAAACCCTCCCCTTCTTCCCTTGGCACATATTTGAGCTGAGTGACGAGTGTTCCTTCCACCGGGGTGTGTGCGTGTATGTGTGTGTGTTTTATTCAAAACTGTGAGTATCTGTTCTGTTTACTTCAACCTTGAAATCCCAAGAGTCACTCAGACAGTGTGAGAGTGTGTACACGTATGTACCCGTGTGTGTGCACATGCACGCTGGAAGTAGAGGCCAGGCCTCTGGGGGAGCAACCTGTGGCAGGGTTGATAGACGCGTTCTCTGCAGTGGTTGGTGAGACAGCCCTGGGCCCCTCATCTACCGGTGCAGAATTTGTTAAAGCCAAGCCTGATTGTGCAGTATTACTTAGATAGCACGTTAGTGGCCTTTTGGTAATTTCTAAACTTTTAACATTATTAACAACCTTTCATGTGATTCACCTATATCAAAGAGGATCAAGAAAGGAGAAGAATGTATTTTATTGTGCTCTTTTTTGTTTCTTTTTCTTTTTTTTTTTTAGAGAATGGGACATGTGAGGCTCCCTATGGAACATGTGCCTGTCCTCCTGGCCAGCAGTACAGGACTTCCAGGGAAGAGAGCTGGTTGGCCCACAAAGAGTCTTGTCTCCTCTGGCCAGAGTACAAGGCTCTGCCCCTAGGAATGGCCACAAGGTGGGCATGCCGCTGCAGGCCAGCAGTCCACTCTCTCTCTCGGTGTCCTGTGACATGACCACACCTTGCCTAGCAGGCTGGTGTTCGGTTCACCTTAGCATAGCCCACGTGCACATAACTCCCTGCCCAATTATACAGTGAAGTGGCAGTGCACAGACCACTGACCCTGTCAGCCAGCACGTTCCCTTAGCAGCCCCCCTCCGTGGTTTGCATATTGAGACACTTTCTCAATGTCACTCTCGTGGTGCCTTGCCCATGTAAATTTGAATGTTGACTATTTAATGAGGTATCATATTTAATGAAGAATGTTTCCTGGTCCCTCTATTTGTTCTCTAGGTATCCTCCCTCCCCCACCACACACACTTTTTTTCTCTGTTTCTGTTTTGCCTTGGACCCAGTCTTCTTCATTTTAACTCTATAGTATTATAATCATGGACACCCTCCACTACCGTTATCTCATAGCACTGGCAAACCGAGCACCTCTTCACATCAGATGTGTTTAGTACTGTTTTCATATTCAGATTTGTTAAGGGCAAAAGAGTAATGCCAACTAGTCAGAGAAGGGACTCAGGCTTCCCTGAGACAGGTGGCTAGATTAACAGCTCTCTGAGTGAGGGCCAAGGAATGTAAGGTGGGGAGGGAAGAAGGTGTTACAGGTTAGAGCAGAATAGGCAAAATAACCCTATTTCTAGGCAAGAAGTATTTACATCAGGTGGTCCTCCAAATATTTTTCCAAGTATGATGAAATTCAGTCAATCTCATATTATCACAAATATTTTACATTTCCATTTTAATTGTAGTAGGAACTTCGAATACATTCATCAACTGGAAAGAAATCCTGCCCTCAGACACAGACATACATACATATTTTTATATATATATATATATATATATATATATATATATATATATATATGAGTTTTGGATTGTGACTAGTATAGCACTTTGTTTTCTCAAGTAATGTCAAGTTATTGTCTTCAATACTGATTGGATTTTTTCTCTTCTATTGAAATTTATACTATAGATTCTTCCATTTATATTGAGAATTTGAACAATTAAGCCGCTATTGGAACTTTTCCTTAAGCCACATGAGCAAGAATAATCTCTCGTACACATTTGGGTACTAGAGAAACAGGACAATGGCTGGAGTAGCCAAGACCAAGACTGAATGTACAGCAGAGTGCCTTGTTAGCATGATAACCTCGTCTGGGAAGGAAGGGAATTAGATGTTCCACAGGAAGGACGGGGCTGTGAGAGGGCTGTTTTGCTAGCCTGAGGAGAGCCCCTTTGGTGTACTAGTGTGATGCCCAGAAGCTAATTCATCAAGAATAACAGCAGGATGGGGAAAAGAGCAGTTGCAACATGTGGAATCAACAACAAAAGAATCGGGAAGGACGTCCACCAACCCCTAGGCTAAGTCTGAATTGGAAGCCAGGAATATGGCAGTGGGTTTCAAGTTTTGCCCTCGGAAGATAAACCGGGTGAGATATATGGGGGGGCACAAGCACCCACACTCCCTAGCCTACTGATGTTGAGGGGCTAAAAGTAAAACCTATTTGTTAGGATTTCAAGACTCTGAGTAACCTTTCATTGTCAGTGGGGGATAGTTGTGCTTCCAAACTCAGAATAAGTTTGTGAACTTAGAAAACTCTAAACCAAGAGATCTGAACCTCTAGAAATATTAATGATATTTCTGGGAGTTAAACTACCTAAAATTGTATTTTAAAGTTTCCAGCATTGTAAAATTTCCGTGAAAGATCTTTGGGGCCTACTAAACGGTAGGGCGTAGAAGGATTGCACTCAGCTTCCCAAATTTGAATTAAGAATACTTTGGTGCTGGGAAGTAACCTGACTTGGTTTTGCTGATAACCTGCAACTAGGATTTTTCCCTAGATGTTACCAGCAGTGATCTGAAAAAAATACAGGCTAGTTCCAGAAATTGCGATGGACTTCTTATTCTGCACTATATTCCAGATGATTCTAGATGTATAAATGAAGTATGAGCATACTTTGGGGTGGGGGGGAGGAACTTGACTCCCTGGGTTAACTCTGACATGTTTTTTATTCCCCTCACTAGTTGATAAGGATTAAAGATTCTGGTTCAGCCTAATGAGTAAACAGGATGGCTGCCCACGAAACCGGGTTATTAGTTTTACCTCATTGAAGCTCATGTTCTCAAAGGCCCTAAGTGCTGTGCTGAGACGAATCCAAGTGCTGCTCTTGCTGAAGTGCGCACTGCAGCCCAGCTGTCCATGCTGATGGCAGCGCTGAAAGTGGGGATTCCGTTGGACCAAAAATGATGCCATAAGGGAAGCCACAAGAGGTGCAGTGCAAGATCCTAGGTAGAGATTATGCCAAAGAAATCAAGCCTTTTGTCCTGATGCTTCTTAGGTGATGAGGTTGAGTTATGACAGATGCCATGGGAGGAGAATTCACATACATTCCACATCCAGGTATTCAGCTGATAAAATAATGCATCCTCAAATAAGCACCTATTTTTTTAAAACAAGTCCATTTTGTGTATTAGGAAAAACAAGATGATGATGATGAAGAAAACCTTGCGCAGATTATAAAGTTCCCCAGTATTTAAGGAGAAGGAACTGTTTCCTCTCTTGTTGACATGGTTGTGACTACTGCCCAAACTTCAGCTTGGGAACATCATATCCACGTAATACTGAGAGCTGAGGAATTTTTTAAAAGAGATATGGTAGTTTCCATAGGTTTGTTTAAAGAACTCTTGGGAAATTTCTTAAGAAATTGTAATATTTTTTTATAAACCTTCCTACTGAGGTGTTTATCACTCACCATCACCACCATTTTATAAGTGCCCAGAATGTACAAGGTGCTATATAGCTGTTAAACATCCCCCTCTCTGCAGCTGTTTGAAATTAGAGTAGGTTTTTGCGTCAGCCACTGCTAGAAGCTTTCCCCACCTGGGCTGGCGGCAGGGGCTTGCATCCGGACGTCCCATCGCATGTTTCCCACTCCAGAGAGCCTCCGCGTTTATTCCAGCTTCTCACCTTTACCCATCCATTTGCCTCCATGTTTGTTGTTGTTTTTTTTTTAATCCAGAAAGTTTCAGGGAATCCAAAGAGGTCGGACATTTTCTAACCTAGCAGAAGTACAGAGTCATATATTTTACTACAAATATTATATTATGGAAAATCCACTTTGCCCGTGTAGTGTGTGGAAAGTATGTGTGTGTCCGCACTCATGATAACTTGAATGTTGAACTAGTCCTATGGCTTCAGGGTAGCGTTTTTGAAAGATAAACCACACTGCTTCAGGAAACTTGCTCCAAATACTACTTGGTTATCCCTTCCCTTAGCAGATGTGTGAACACACTGGGATGGGATTTTTCTGTTGATGATATGCCGGGCATTTTGGCGTGAGATGAGGGCAGAAGCCAGATGTTGTCCTTCTCAGTGATTTGAATCATGGCAGCCCTCATTCCGCTCTCTCTTTCATTCCCCATGGCTCTGCCCATGCTTTTTGAAAATCTTGTTTCTTTTGCTCTTTCCTGGAGCTTCACCTCTACTTAACATGTTTTGGAGTTGTATAAACCTACCAATGAAAGGTCCCCTCTGTCACCAGGTGGCGCCGCCCTTTGGTTTGCTGTGGTACTTTGCTGTGTTCTCTGTGGCATCATGTTACTGTGTAAATAAATTCATTTTCATATACACTAAAAACCAGACGAGCGCTTGTCCTTTCAGCAGCTCTCCCACACTGACGTGCTGCGGGGGAGGGGGAGTTTGGTTGCAGACATGGTTACATCTTAAATCCCAGGATGCATGCCCTCTAGAATGCTCCTCCCTGCTGACCTGGACTATATTTCGATTCGTTCCCTCCCTAAACTGAGAAAACTAGGCATGGAAGGGAACGAGAAGGCCTTCAGCTTTCCCCCAGAGCTCAGAGGGCTGCGGGTTTGCTGTGTGAGATTGCCCCCTGGTGACCAGTCACCATATAGACTTCCTGGGTTTGTACTATTACACGTTTGAGAGGTTTGGTTAGCAGGCTGAGGCTGAGCCTCTGAGTGGCCATCTCAGAGCTCTGCAGACAATATGAGCAAGGCAGGGCCTTGTACAATGTCATCTGCTACAGAATCCACATCGTTTGCCTGTTCCTAAAGGTACACGGTCACACACACTGTCCTCACAAAGGCAGACAAGCCAATGTGCAGACACTTCAGGAGCCGAGAGAGGAGGCCACCGGGCTCAGGCAGGACGAGTCGGCAGTGGGCGGTGGCAGTGACAGCTGGCACGTTATTGGAGTAGAACGAGTGAAAGTGCAAACATGAGCTCTAAACCCCGGACAGTGGGCACTGTCTCCAGCCCAGTGTTTCTGCTTCTCTCCACTCTGGAATTTTCAGACATGGTATTTAAGGGATATTCCAGAAAACTGATTGCCATACTCAAGTTTTATGTTGCTGAGGAGGCAACACCCATATTGATGTGGGCCTCAAAGCTCTCTCTGTTGCCTGGGCCTAGGAGGAAGGGTCAGCAACAAAACTGAGAGACGACCCCCAGGGACACGGGCTCTGCTTGCTGGAGAGGAGCCGGGGAGCTAGCCTTCCTCGTTGTGAGCACAGCACACTGGCTTCTGGAGGAAGAGAACCAAAGACAAAGACAGACAGCTGGAGCTGTTCCAGGGATGGAGCACACTAGGCTTGGGTTGCTGTCTAATGCTCTGCTGGTGAGTGGCCAACCGGGGCCCCTGAAAAGATACAAGCTTGGATGGTGGGACCAGTTCAGGGCTGCCCAAGCCTGACTCCAAGTGAGGTGGAGCACGGTCATCAATGGGGTCACTTTGTCCTTTGGTATAGCTGGAGACAGATCCTATTTCCCCTCCATCACCTTGCACAGCATGGGATCCATTCCTAGGAATTCCGTTAGTGGGCCCTCAGGAAGACCACTCTTCCCTTTTGATTCTGGGTTGTCCAGAGGTGATGGGCCACTGACATTTGCGTAGGGCCTTTGGCTTCCTACATGCCTGAGAACTGGCTTCTTTCAACACAGGCCACAAAGAATCTTGAGTTCTTTCCTACCTGGAATTAACTGGTATGAGAAGCTCTCTGGGTGCGTGGCACTGAGTGTACACCCTCTGCTCCGGGAGCTCTTGCTGCTTTCCAAGTCCTAGCAAATTATACTTCCTTTTAAGTGAGCCTGTGCTCTACAAGGGAAAGAACTTCATTAGTGCTTCAGGAGCCAAGAACTGCAGTTGGCGGATCACAGGTTGCCAGTAAGAGCAGGTCGAGGTAATTAACGGCTGAAACTTAAAAATTGGATTGCATACGGGGGTGGGGGTGGGGGTGGTAAGTAGGGAGTTGGCTGCCAAGGTCCGGTTCTCTCAAACTTGCAGACCTCTGAGTGGAAACAGGCTGCCTGGGTAGAACCCCCGATCTCCTGGAGATAACATAACTCTCTGCACACACATATCCCAACCAACTATTCCCTTACCCTCTGGAAGGTACATGGAAGCAACCAAAAGGCTGAGCCTTACTGGTCACCAGTCCCAGTTTGAGAATCCAAGCAGGGCTACTGGGTGCTGGGGAATGTGCTCGGTGAGGGGGACCCGGGGGCCCCAGGAATAGAGGGGCTCCGAATCTCTGTCGGGGGACAGAGCTGTCAGCTCTCTGAGTCCATCACCTCCACCACCCATCACTCAGCAGCCTACACCTGGGCTGGAGTCTTGGAACCAGGGGTCGGAGGTCAGGCAGAGTGAAAACCTGCAAGGCTGTGGCTCCTTATCAGCTCTTCCTCTCCCCACAAGCGCCTTTCCTCCCTGCGCCTCCCTCCACCACACACCCAGGGCACATCCGAAAACACCCTAACCCTGCTGCCACGGCCATCCCAGGCCAGGCCACTCAGGCCCCTCCCCGATGCTGAGGACAGAGCCCCACTGTGGGTGTCAGGCTCTGCAGGCCTCTTTCCCTCAGGCTCTGAGTGGCTCAGCGTCCCCCACTGACTTACCTCTGCCTCCTGACCCTGGGCCTCCTGCAGGTCAGGGCAGCCAGCCTTTCCCCTCGCTCTGTGGCCTGGGCGCTGCTCAGAGAGGCCCTGGGCTGCCGCCGGTGGGAGCGTCAACACTACCAAAGGTGAGAGTGTGCTTCATCCCCACAGCCTTCCAAGGAGATGGCTCCATTCTGCCCATTTTCACTCAACTAATCAGACTCAGGGTATGAACCCAGATCTGTGTGCCTTCTTGTCAGTGCTGTTTCCTCGGAGCGCAAAGGAGAGCAAGGGAGAGCTTCTTAGGGTTGAACTAGCTTCATTTTATCTTCACAACAACCCTATGAGGTAGGTTCTAGAATTATCCCCATTTTACCCATGAGAAGACAAGCCAGAGAGGTTTTGTTTGCCCCAAATCCCTAGTGAGGGAACTAGCATTTGTCCTCAAGACGGTCCGGCTCCTCCTCCCAGCTTCCCAGAGCTCATGGCCTTCCTCCCTCACCCCCTGCTGTTGCCCCAGAATAATCAGTGGCTCCCTGGTGCCCAGAGAAGACAACCCAATTGCAGAGCCCGAGTCCCGCCACCCGGTCATGCTTACTGCTGACCAGACCCCCAGGCCCTGCTTCGGCTGGCCTCCTTGCTGCTCGTCAAACACACCTGGAGATTTCCCTGCCCACAGGGTTCTTGTCCTTTTTCCTCCCCATTCTTCAGGGCCCCATTCAGCCAAGAAGCTGTTGAGGTGACTCCAGCTGGAAGTGTTCCCTCAGCTGTCTGCAATCGCCAACTTGCACCTCAGACTCAGCTCTCGGCCTGGCGTGTGTCCTGCCTCCTGCCTCCGCTCTCTCCTCCCATCTGTCTCCTCAAGAGTCTGAGCGAGACTCGCAGGAGGGGCAGGGGCAGAACTGCGGCCCACGGGTCCTGGGCCGGGCTTCCCCACTGCCCATCCTCACTCCAGCCCTCTGACCCCCATTCTACACATGAGGAGATTGAAACTCAGAGTGAGTAAGAAACTTGTCCAAATAAAGATGCAGACATAGAGAATGGACTTGAGGACACAGGGAGGGGGAAGGGGAAGCTGGGACGAAGTGAGACAGTGGCATGGACGTATATACACTATCAAGTGTAAAATAGCTAGCTAGTGGGAATCAGCTACCTAGCACAGGGAGATCAGCTCGGTGCTCTGTGACCACCTAGAGGGGTGGGATAGGGAGGGTGGGAGGGAGACGCAAGAGGGAGGAGATATAGGGATGTATGTATCTGTATGGCTGATTCACTTTGTTATACAGCAGAAACTAACACACAATTGTAAAGCAATTATACTCCAATAAAGATGTTAAAAAAAAAAAAAAAGAAAAACTTGTCCAAGGCTGCACAGCTGGTAAGTAGTAGGGCTGAGATTCAAGCCCAGCCTGGCTCACTCAGAAGCCAGTTCTCTTCCCCACCACGTCACAAGTCTGCTAGCCTGTTTCTATGCCAATGTATAACTGGGTCCTAGGGTCATTCACTCCAACTGTGACAGACTGGGGCAGCCTAGGAAGGCTTCCTGAAGCAAGCAGAGTGGGGATGGGGAAGGGGGCAAATCCAGAAAGGGCCTGCCAGGCTGAGCAGTCAGATCCTGGCTCCTTCTGTAAGGAGCTGGCCAGGAACAGGGTGTCTGCTGAGGAGAGGGAGGTACTGGCCGCCTGTGGAAACTTCCCACTCAAGATGCCCCAGAGCAGACTTGCCTCCCCCCACCCCAACTCTGCAGGTGGAGAGGGGCAAAGTTTGCCAAGCAAGTAAACCCCAGTTTCACCCGCCCAGCAGGTGCCTACCATGGGGGCCTCCTAGGACTGCTTCTGGGACAAAAAAAGGCAACTGAGTGACCATCAGCCACCATAGAGGTAACTGGCCACTTTGGCAACTTTCTTTTCCTGTGTGTAGGGGTGGGGGTGGGAAGCAAAGGGATGGACGGGAATCTACCTTCCATTCCTCCACCCTCTCCATTCCCCCCATGCCGTGGTGATCTAGATGGTAAAGTGCTCAACCCCTTGCCCCATTTTTGTGCAAAACATACACATACACCTGTACGATGTGTACAATATTCTTCAAATTGCTTTCCTCACTTAACTCACTTAAGGGCTGACCCAATAGACATCACGATCATGGCACTTTTCAAAAGACAGCTTCTCTCACTAAAAATGACAGTATTATATAACATATGTAAATTTATTCTTCTTATCATTTCTGCTTCTCTGGGCATCTAGTCACATTCTTGTAGGGATGGGTAAACAAAGAAATACGAGCAACTACAAAACTCTCCCAAGAATTATAATGGAAGATGCGCAGATAGAGAGATGAGCCCCCAGGTTGGGTAGAAAGGCCATGTATCTCCTCAAATATTTCAATGAAATTTGAATCTTAAACCTCAGTGGGTTGTTGTTGCTGTTTTGACCTTTACAGAATGGTTCTCAGAGGCACTTGGAAGAATGAATAGGTGAAAGAAACCCAGGAATTATTGAAATTGAGAGGCTATTTAAGTATATGAAAAAGCTATGATCAATAAAAACAGTGTGATACAGATACAAGAAAAAAAAGGTCAGTGTAATGGAATAGGTAACTTAAAAACAAAGCTTATTATCTACAAAAATGCAATATAGGATCAGTAAGATATTACCATATGGAAGGGAAAGAAAATCTTATCCAATAAGATGTGCTGGTACAATCAGTTAGCTATTTGGAAAATAATCTGCACTCTGTAAACTCAAATAAATCCAAGCAGATCAAACAAGGAGCTACATGGCACAAAGGAAAGAAAAAAGAAAAGAAACCCTAAGAACTAGGAAGAAAGCTAAGTCAATACCTGTTTTATCTGCTGTTGATAAAGGATTTTCTAACTTATAAAGCAACAGAAGGCACCTGAAAGGAAAAGATCAATAGGTTTGACTACATAAAGATGATAAACCTTCGAGCACTGAAAACATTAGAAACAAAATTGAAAAGTAAATAACCAGCCAGGAAAACCATTTCAACAAATATAATGGACATAGGGTTAAAATCCTGTTATAAAAAGCTTATACACATCATTAAGAACATAAAATGCCAATAGAGAGATGAGAACAGACAAGTCATAGAAGAATCCAAACACTTAAACTTTCTAGAAATAAGAGAAATGAAAAACTAAGAGGGCATACCTAAAAACCATTTTAATAGCTTTTTCTGATTATAAAAGTGATGTCTGTTTACAGTAGAAAATCGAAAATAAAGTTGACCCACCAGAAGCTGGTCACCATCCAGAAGTGACCATCACTAACATTTGCTATATATCCCGCAAGTGTTGTTTCCTCCGCCTTTTTCTTTTTTAGTTAGGATCCTGTTGTTGGCCTCCCATTTTCTGCCTATCAAGTTAACAGAGCTCTTTTTAAAGCGTATACTCAATGCTGGTGACTGTATAAAGTTCAGACAATGTAGGTGCAATTGAACTGGATGAGAAGGGGCTTAATTCATACTGTCCTTCTTCTGAGGCCACAGCTGAGCAGGGGTGTTGGGCAAGGTGTGACGCCAGGAGACAGGGTGGATGTAGAGATTTCAGTCTCCAAGATCAGAGCACCAGAGTCTCCAGGGGGCTTTTCAACAGGACAGACTCTGGGGCCCCACCCAAGTCCAATGACAGAGGCCTCCCTCCGCCCCCACCCCCACCCCCGCCGAGTCCCACAGTTATTCTGAGCTTGCTGGGGGCCTCTCTGCCCTGAGTCTGGCTGCCCGGGTTTGGATCCAGGGTTCGCCTCTAACTAACCGTGGTCCTCAGGCACACTTTGAGCCTCGGTTTCAATGGAGAGTTCTAACTTGCAGGGTTGTTGTGAGGATTAAAGGACGTCGTCCAACAAATGTGTTTAGCCCTCTGCCTGGCAATAGTACGTGCTCAGATATTGTTAGCTCCGAAGGATGAGCTCCAAGTATTTGCTTTCTGTTTTTATAACTAAGGACCCACCACGGGATTTTTGCTGAACAAAGGCACTATGAATTCAAATCTCTGCCTCATGAGAGTCAGAAAACTGCTTGCAGCTTTCAAATGGCAGTTTCTCCGGCTTTGCAAATATCTCCTGGCTAAGTTTCAGAAAGCCCTGCTAACAGTCCTTTCTCTAAACACCTCCTACCTGCCCAAGGTGACACAGGCAGAAAGGGGCTCAGGCTCCTGAATCCAAGCCTGCCCCTTAATTCCTTACCTTACCCAAGCTTGATCCTATAAGGGGAAGGGGGTACCAGGCACAGTGATGAGCTGGCAGGAGGGAAGGGGTCTGAAGCAGGAAGTGGGGGTGAGGGTGAAGGCAGCTGTGGGCAGCTCCTCTGGCTCTGGGCCTGCCTCTTCACTAGAGGGTTGCTGTCCAGAAGCATCCCCTCTCTCTTGACGAGAGGCTCGGCCAAGCCCTCCCCGGCCCCGCCTGCCCTGTCCTCCCCTTTCCACAGAGCCACATCAGGGCTGTCATTTCAGCTCCCTCATGAATGACACTGGTCCCTGGCATAATAAATGCTCCAGTCGAATGTACTTTATTTTGGGGAAAGTCATTAAACCGCTTTTGTGGAGACATTTTAATTGAATTAGATTATTTTCTGATTGTAATAAATGTTAATTAATTGAGTGGGCCTGGTGTCCTTGCATCTAGCTGGCTTCTCTTGGTTTAATTAGGAGGATAGTGCAGACTTACTTCCTTTTGTCATAAGTCAGAGGTTTAAATTTATCTTTTGTGCTAATAAAGTGATCAGGCGGGTGCAAGGAGCAGATTATTTCTTATGTCTGAAATTCAACAGCCTGCTTCATTCACAAGCCCCTGCTTGGCATCAGCAGGGCATGACCCAGTTCTCTTGTCTCGGCTTAATGAGGTTTCTCCATTGCTTGGGGGAAAAGAAAGAAATATTAAGTTCTGCAAACATCCTTGTGTTTCCCAAGAATGCTAGTCACCAGATTCCAGGGGGATGAAGTTGCTGGTTCCCGTGGGCACAGCTGACCAGAGAAGTAGGTGGTCTGTGAGGCATGGAGACCCCCCAAACTTTTTGTCCACCCCTAGAGTAGGAGGCAGACCTGGGAAGTTCCAGAAACTCAGAACAACCCAGAGACCCTGGCAGCTTCCTCATTATAGAGATGCTGAAACTGCAGCCCAGAGAGGGAAAGGGCGTGACCAAGGCCACACAGTGTGGCCCTGATCTAGTGACATCTATAGCTCATGGAATATTTGACTAATAACAAATTCAGTTTGGGTCAGCTAAAACTGACATGAGCCAGACCCTGGATTAGGGGTGAGGGTGGAGATAGGTCCAAAGGAGAATGCACAATGGTAACGATTATGTAAACTGGGTGACAACAGAGGGGTCCACACAACATAAAAGGCAGCATAAAAGACCAGGCATATTGCCTCAGACTTGTTGGGGAGGAAGGGTGGTCTGGAAGCCTTCAAGATGAGGCGTGTCAGCACTAGATTTTGAAGGATAAAAGGGAGTTCAGCAGGTGGACAAAATGGGGAGAAGGGCATTCCAGACAGAGGAATGTCTGCAAGTGCAAAGCCAAGTTTATTCTGGCATGTTCCGGCAAACACGTGAGAGTCACAGGAGGCTCTCAGAAGCTCAGATTTGCACTGGAGGAAAATCCCTCTAGCTGCTGCAGTAGAGGAGGGTCCAGAGGGGGAATCTATGGACAGGGAGAACCTACCTGTAAGGTGAGGGAAGCTGGGAGCCCCTCAGCTCAGCTCATTGCCATAGAGATGGAAGAGCAGCGCTGGGTCCTGAAATATTTAGGAAGTAGAGTCAACGTTTCCTGGCTTGGTCAGGTGTCCCGAGGAAACCCTGGGAGGGAGCAGGTGAGGAGGCAGGGAGGGGTGACACCTTCCCTTTTGGACAAGCTCCTTGGCAACTTGGAGCCAAGTTGTTGAATGGTGGTTGTTCTTCCTCTGAATGGTTCTGCGAGGTGCTAAGACTTGCAATAGCAGCAATAGCTCACCTCTAGCAGCTTTCTTCAGCCAGATACCATTACCTGTGCTTTGCCTGCATGATGCATTCCATCTTCAGTATAACCCTGTGAGGTGGATCCTGTTCTTACCCTATTTCACCAGTGAGAAAGCCTGGGCATGGAGAGGGGCGATGACTTGCCCAAGGTCACTAAGCTTCGCAAGTGGGAGAGCAAGCAGCAGCTCCCCAGGCTGAGCCAGACCTACCCCAAATAAGTGTGCTCCATGTTCAAATGGGGCCTTATTGACTCTTTACCCCAAATTATCCCTAATAGATGACAAGTGTTTAGGTTTTCCTTTGAGGAATTGAAAGACCTTCCCAGCGCCAAACGTCATCTGCAGAAGCACCAGGGCCGACCTGGGCATCTTGTTTCCTCCCCCATCCATGCCCAGGCCCTTCTTGCTGGTGGGAGGAGTTGAGCCAGGCTGCACTTTCCTCTTGAAGGCCCCACAGTATAGCAAGAAGGGCCTGGGTTCAAACACGCTTCGCCCTGTGTGACCCTGGACAAGTCCCTGTCCTCTCCAAGCCTCAGTGACTCACCACGCCGGCATCAGCCCCCGCCCCCAGGGCTGGCGTGGGGTCCCCAGGGTCCTGGCACATGGTAGTCGATGACTGCTGTGATTATGGCTGCCCCAGCCTTGCTCTTGGCCCCCTTCAGGCTGAGGGGGTCTGAGGACCATCTTCCGAAAGGTGTCCTCACAGAGGCAGCCTCTAACCCCGGAAACTGGACCCCAGGCCTGCCACCTAGGAATCAAGCTCACTGTTAGTGGACCCTCTTTTTAGTAGGTCCCCACCCTTCAGCAAACCCTTTGGTCGGTGCTTTGCCAGGACAGCCAGCAGTACACCCCTTCCCCATGCACTCACCACGCTGTCTCTGCCTGTCAGGATTCCATTCAACCTTCAAGGTCTCTATCTGCCTACATTCTCCCCAACCCCATGGGGCCTCTCCGCACCTGCTCTCTGCCCCATTCTGGCCCATCTGCCACTGGGTACTTGTCCGATGCTGGCAAGCTCCCAGGGCGGACCCACGCCTCTAAATCGCCCCCGGGGCCTGTCAGAGCTGTTCCTGTGGAGTGCCAGCTCAGGGTTGTGGATGGATGGAGACGGGATAGAATTTGCCAGGGTGAAATTCGCCTGTCCACCCTCCCCATCACACGCAAACGCGTGCACACACATACGCTGTCTGGCCCACCTTCCCATTTTGTGGCTATGCTGGCCTTCTCTCTAGCTCTGTCCCATCTGGCTCTGGGCCTCTCCCTACTGTGTCGTGCGCCTCATTGGGCTGCTCCAGATGCTTACCTGGTAAGCCCTGGTAAGGAGTCCCACTCCACCCTTCTCACTGGGACATAACCTGACTTTGGGACAGGGCCTGGCCTGAGGCAAGGTGCCACCATACACCACTGTGGCCCTGGAAAAATAAGAGGAACATGACTTGGGAGCTAGTCATCTACAGGCTCCAGGAAGCTCCCACAAAATCCGGGGAGAAAGCAAACCTAGATCCTTCCCAGTGAGGCCAGGAAAGGGGGCCCTGAAAGCAAGATTAGGAAGCTTTTCCCTCTCTCTCCCCACTTCCTAGAGAGCAAAGCAGCAGAGTCAGCGGGCTCCCAGTTGATGGCTTTCCTGTCACCCCCCCCTTCACCTGCAGGATAGACCAGCTGTTGGTGTCAGATTAATGACCACAATTAAAAGCAAAATGCCCTTGCTGTGGCCCACTGTCCTCCCACACCTGTGAGTCTGGAGGCTGAGCTCTAAGCCCTAGGAATGGAAGATTTGTAATGAAATCCGACAGGCCTCTTAACCGCTGATGGTATCAGGGCCCAGGGGAGATGCAGACTTATTTCCTAATCTCCCATGGAGCATCTGTCAGGCCCACCGCACAGCAATGTCATTCCCGTGCGTAGCAAGGACCTTTCATGGGGCTGGCTGTCCACTGCCTGCCAGGCCGCCTCCCCGCTCTCTCCTCCAGCCCCTTCTTTTCGCCTGGGCTCAGGCTGAATGGACATTCACACACACACACCCTGGTTCATTCATAAATTACCTGTTCTGCCCCATTTGCATTGACAGAAGAGAAAAATAAGAACATCTCTATAGCAGTGTTCGAAAACGGCAAAAGTACCATTGACAAATTAGTCATTCTGCAGGATTTCTAGAAGCTGAGAAGCAGATGAGAACAAGCAAAATGAGAAGCCCACTGGTGCAGCATAGCCCGTGACCCACTCAGAGAAGTCTGGGGACCAGTTTTTCCACCAGAGCCCTGAGAGCCTCCTGAGTCTGGGCGGCAGGGCTGAGCAAAGGGGTGGGAGGGGGCCTCTGGAGCCGGACCCAGCCCAGCCTTTGTCTCCAGGCTTTGCCGGATTAGGACTGTGTGCTGAGTCAGTGAGGGCTCTGGAAGGCCTGCACAGGACAGAGGGGATAGGACCCCACAACCACCACAGAGGGAAGCATAAGTGGGTCTTGGTAGCAATGGTAGCTCCCACCATGCCAGAAACTTCTCTACTGCTATTGACTATTACAGCCTAATTCCCTTGTGGACACCCTGAGGCCCCACTAGCAGAAGCTGTAGGACTGGGTGGGTGGGGAGCAGGTGGCATGGCCTGGACTCCCCAGAGCAGGGGACAGAGACCTGCCCCTCCCCAGCTCCAGCCTCTTGGTGCAGGCAGCACTCTAAGAGACCTGGGACACTAGGCACAAGGAATCCTGTGGTTCGTGCCCGACACAGCCATTTGCTCCCAGTTCCTACACTTAGGAGGGAACACTTTCTGCCCACACCCCTCCAGCAAGGCTCAGATTAGGCCGGGAAACCCTATGTGCCACACCCCGCTCTTGACATTCATAATATGTCTTAGCTTATCAAAGGTTCCGAGAGATCTTGCAGTCACTTTCATTGTCTAATTGACATTCAGTGCAGTTACCACGTTCAGTGAATTTTGACAAAAGATCACACCCATATAACCCACATTTGTATCAAGATTTTGAACATTTTCATCACCCCAGAAAGTCCCCTCACATCCCTTGCCCATCACCCCTACCCCCACCCCCAAGGCAACTGCTTTATAACGATAGTTTTGCCTATTCTAAAGCTTCACGTATATGGATTCTTATACAGCGTGTGCTCTTCTGTGTCTGGCTTCTTTCACTCAAAATAGTATCTGTACAGTCCACCCATGTTGCTGCATGTGTCTGTGGTTCATTACTTTTAACGGTTGAGGAGTATTCCACTGTAAGATACATATTTATTACAATGTGTTTATCTCTTTTCCTGTTGGTAAATAGCGTTTTCCAGTTTTTGCTTGAACAAAGTTGCTATAAATACTTCTCTGTACTACACTTTTTGTGAACAAGTTTCACCTTTTTCCTGGATAGTTACTCCCAGAAATGGAATTTACAGGTGTATGCAAACTGCCAAACTAGTTTCCAGAGTACCAGTTTACACTCTCCCCCCAGAAACATGTGAGAGTCTCTGTGGCTCCATATCCTCACCATTATTTAGTGTTATTTCTTCAGTAACTTTAAAAAATATTTTGTTTAACTCATCATTTCTCACACTTGCAGAACGACTGAACTTTTGTCTTATGATCTCTTTTAATATCCCACGGAACCAGTGTGCAGCAGAATTCATTTGGAGAGTAAGGCTGTAGACCTTCATTCATAAATAGGAGAAATCAAAACATTAGCTAGAGAGATTGGTTCAAGATGGCAGAGTAGTGGGACGTGCTCTCACTCCCTCTTGCGAGAGCACCGGAATCACAACTAACTGCTGAACAATCATCAACAGGAAGACACTGGAACTCACCAAAAAAGATACCCCAAATCCAAAGACAAAGGAGAAGCCACAATGAGACGGTAGGAGGGGTGCAATCACAATAAAATCAAATCCCATAACTGCTGCGTGGGTGACTCACAAACTGGAGAACACTTATACCACAGAATTCCACCCACTAGAGTGAAGGTTCTGAGCCCCACCCACATCAGGCTTCCCAACCTGGGGGTCTGGCAATGGGAAGAGGAATTTCGAGAGAATCAGACTTTGAAGGCTAGTGGGACTGGATTGCAGGACTTTGACAGAACTGGGGGAAACAGAGACTGCACTCTTGGAGGGCACACACAAAGTAGTGTGCGCATCGGGACCCAGGGTAAGGAGCAGTGACCCCATAGGAGACTGAACCAGACCTACCTGCTGGTGTTGGAGGGTCTCCCGCAGAGGCAGGGGGGTGGCTGTAGCTCACTGTGAGGACAAGGACACTGGCAGCAGAAGTTCTGGGAAGTACTCCTTGGCGTGAGCCCTCCCAGAGTCCGCCATTAGCCCCACCAAAATGCCTGGGTAGGCTCCAGTGTTGGGTCGCCTCAGGCCAAACAACCAACAGGGAGGGAACCCAGCCCCACCCATCAGCAGACAATTGAATTAAAGTTTTACTGAGCTCTGCCCAACAGAGCAACACCCAGCTCTACCCACCACCAGTCCCTCCCATCAGGAAACTTGCACAAACCTCTTAGACAGCCTCATCCACCAGAGGGCAGACAGCAGAAGCAAGAAGAACAACAATCCCGTAGCCTGTGGAACAAAAACCACATTCACAGAAAGACAGACAAGATGAAAAGGCAGAGGGCTATGTACCAGATGAAGGAACAAGATAAAACCCCAGAAAAACAACTAAATGAAGTGGAGATAGGCAACCTTCCAGAAAAAGAATTCAGAATAATGGTAGTGAATATGATCCAGGACGTCGGAAAAAGAATGGAGGCAAAGATCAAGAGATGCAAGAAATGTTTAGCAAAGACCTAGAAGAATTAAAGAACAAACAAACAGAGATGAACAATACAATAACTGAAATGAAAAATACACTAGAAAGAATCAGTAGCAGAATAACTGAGGCAGAAGAACGGATAAGTGACCTGGAAGACAGAATGGTGGAATTCACTGCTGCAAAACAGAATAAAGAAAAAAGAATGAAAAGAAACGAAGACAGCTTAAGAGACCTCTGGGACAACATTAAACTCAACAACATTCGCATCATAGGGGTCCCAGAAGGAGAAGAGAGAGAGAAAAGACCCGAGAAAATATTTGAAGAGATTATAGTCGAAAAGTTCCCTAACGTGGGAAAGGAAATAGCCACCCAAGTCCAGGAAGCACAGAGAGTCCCAGGCAGAATAAACCTAAGGAGAAACACACCAAGACACATAGTAATCAAATTGGCAAAAATTAAAGACAAAGAAAAATCATTGAAAGCAACAAGGGAAAAATGACAAATAACATACAAGGGAACTCCTATAAGGTTAAGAGCTGATTTCTCAGCAGAAACTCTACCAGAAGGGAGTGGCATGAAATATTTAAAGTGATGAAAGGGAAGAACCTACAACCAAGATTACTCTACCCGGCAAGGATCTCATTCAGATTCCACAGAGAAATCAAAAGTTTTACAGACAAGCAAAAGCTAAGAGAATTCAGCACCACCAAACCAGCTGTACAACAAATGCTGAAGGAACTTCTCTAAGTGGGAAACACAAGAGAAGAAAAGGACCTACAAAAACAAACCCATAACAATTAAGAAAATGGTAATAGGAATATACATATCGATAATTACCTTAAACATGAATGGATTAAATGCTCCAACCAAAAGACACAGGCTCTCTGAATGGATAAAACAACAAGACCCATATATATGCTGTCTACAAGAGACCCACTTCAGACCTAGGACACAAACAGACTGAAAGTGAGGGAATGGAAAAGATATTCCATGCAAATGGAAATCACAAGAAAGCTGGAGTAGCAATACTCATATCAGATAAAACAGACTTTAAAATAAAGACTGTTACAAGAGACAAAGAAAGTCTCTGCGTAATGATCAAGGGGTCAATCCAAGAAGAAGATATAACAATTATAAATATATATGCACCCAACATAGGAGCACCTCAATACATAAGGCAACTGCTAACAGCTATAAAAGAGGAAATCGACAGTAACACAATAATAGTGATGGACTTTAACACGTCACTTACACCAGTGGACAAATCATCCAGACAGAAAAGCTTTAAGTGACACAATAGACCAGACAGATTTAATTGATATTTATAGGACATTCCACCCAAAAACAGCAGATTACACTTTCTTCTCAAGTGTGCACAGAACATTCTCCAGGATAGATCACATCTTGGGTCACAAATCAAGCCTCAGTAAATTTAAGGAAGTTGAAATCATATCAAGCATCTTTTCTGACCACAACGCTATGAGATTAGAAATCAGTTACAGGGAAAAAAATGTACAAAACACAAACACATGGAAGCTAAACCATACGTTACTAAATAACCAAGAGATCACTGAAGAAATCAAAGAGGAAACCAAAAAATACCTAGAGACAAATGACAATGAAAATACGACGATCCAAAACCTATGGGATGCAGCAAAAGCAGTTCTAAGAGAGAAGTTTATAGCAATACAAGCACACCTCAAGAAACAACGAAAATCTCAAATAAACAATCTAACCTTACACCTAAAAGAACTAAAGAAAAAAGAACAAACAAAACTCAAAGTGTGTAGAAGGAAAGAAATCATAAAGATCAAAGCAGAAATAAATGAAATAGAAACAATAGCAAAGATCAATAAAATTAAAAGCTGGTTTTTTGAGAAGATAAACAATATTGATAAACCATTAGCCAGACTCATCAAGAAAAAGAAGGAGAGGACTCAAATCAATAAAATTAGAAATGGAAAGGGAGAAGTTACAACAGACATCGCAGAAATACAAAGCATCCTAAGAAACTACTACAAGCAACTCTATGCCAATAAAATGGACAACCTGGAAGAAATAGACAACTTCATAGAAAGGTATTACCTTCCAAGACTGAACCAGGAAGAAACAGAAAATATGAACAGACCAATCATAAGTAATGAAATTGAAACTGGAATTCAAAATCTTCCAATAAAAAAAAGTGCAAGACCAGATGGCTTCATAGGTGAATTCTATCAAACATTTAGAGAAGAGCTAACACTCATCCTTCTCAAACTCTTCCAAAAAATTGCAGAGGAAGGAACACTCCTAAACTCATCCTATGAGGCCACCATCACCCTGATACCAAAACCAGACAAAGATACTACAAAAAAAAGAAAATTACAGACCAATATCACTGATGAATATAGATGCAAAAATCCTCAACAAAATACTAGCAAACAGAATCCAACAACACATTAAAAGGATCATACACCATGATCAAGTGGGATTTATCCCAGGGATGCAAGGATTCTTCAATATATGCAAATCAATCAGTGTGATACACCATATTAACAAATTGAAGAATAAAAATCATATGATCATCTCAATAAATGCAGAAAAAGGTTTTGACAAAATTCAACACCCATTTATGATAAGAACTCTCCAGAAAGTGGGCATAGAGGGAAACTACCTCAACATAATAAAGGCCATATACAACAAACCCACAGCAAACATCATTCTCAATTGTGAAAAACTGAAAACATTTCCTCTAAGATCAGGAATGAGACAAGGATGTCCACTCTCACCACTATTATTCAACATAGTTTCGGAAGTCCTAGCCATGGCAATCAGAGAAGAAAAAGAAGTAAAAGTCATCCTAATTGGAAAAGAAGAAGTAAAACTGTCACTGTTTGCAGATGACATGATACTATACATAGAAAATCCTAAAGATGCCAACAGAAAACTACTAGAGCTAATCAATGAATTTGGTAAAGTTTCAGGATACAAAATTAATGCACAGAAATCTCTTGCATTCCTATACACTAATGATGAAAAATCTGAAAGAGATATTAAGGAAACACTCCCATTTACCACTGCAACAAAAAGAATAAAATACCTAGGAATAAACCTACGGAGGGAGACAAAAGACCTGTATGCAGAAATCTATAAGACACTGATGAAAGAAATTAAAGATGATATAAACAGATTGAAGGATATACCATGTTCTTGGATTGGAAGTATCAATATTGTGAAAAAGACTATACTATCCAAAGCAATCTACAGATTCAGTGCAATCCCTATCAAATTACCACTGGCATTTTTTACAGAACTAGAACAAAAAGTCTTAAAATTAGTATGTAGACACAAAAGATCCCAAATAGCCAAAGCAGTCTTGAGGGAAGAAAATGGAGCTGGAGGAATCTGACTCCCTGACTTCAGACTATACTACAAAGCTATAGTAATCAAGACAATATGGTACTGGCACAAAAACAGAAATATAGATCAATGGAACAGGATAGAAAGCCCAGAGATAAACCCACGCACCTATGGTCAACTCATCTATGACAAAGGAGGCAAAGATATACAATGGAGAAAAGACAGCCTCTTCAAAAAGTGGTGCTGGAAAAACTGGACAGCTACATGTAAAAGAATGAAATTAGAACACTCCCTAACACCATACACAAAAATTAACTCAAAATGGATTAAAGAACCTAAATGTAAGGCCAGACACTATAAAACTCTTAGAGGAAAACATAGGAAGAGCACCCTTTGACATAAATCACAGTAAGATCTTTTGTGATCCACCTCCTAAAGTAATGGAAATAAAAATGAAAATAAACAAATGTGACCTAATGAAACTTACTTTTGCAAAGCAACGGAAACTACAAACGAGACGAAAAGACAACACTCAGAATGGGAGAAAATATTTGCAAATGAAGCAACTGACAAAGGAATAATCTCCAAAATATATAAACAGCTCATGCAGCTCAATATTAAAAAAAAACAACCCAATCCAAAAATGGGCAGAAGACCTAAATAGACATTTCTCCAAAGAAGACATACAGAT